CAAGAGTGAATATAGCATCTGTGGTGATACAACATAATATGAAGAAACAAGTCAGTTCTTAGAAAGATTTCCTCATCACTATTGAAGAAGAAAAATGACTCAGTTTCTTGAATATGATAACATTTCCTTATTTGTAGCATGTGGAAATTATATTTCCTTCTTTGATAATTGGTCTCAACATGCATTATTTTATGTCTTTCTGGTGAAAGTACAAATACAACTTTTTATGGTGTTTACAACCAGGTTCACTCAGTTGTTGCACGATGACAACTATAAATTATTGACACGTGTAACGTAAAAAAAATCTTGAGATTTGCTTTAGAACCTGCTGTAGTAAGACATTCCCTTTATTAAAGATACAGTTGCCTTACTTCACCTTGGCTCAGAGTCTGCTTAGAGAAATTACGTTATACAGTCAATTTAAATAATTAAACCAACGATATTACTGAGAACGTTTGTATAACAAAAACTCGAAGACTCAAGGCCCTGCAGAGATCCTGGTCTTGAAAAACTAAGCATCCGGTTATTCTGAGTTTCCTGCAGTCATGTAAAACCCAATTCTTTCACCATGAATATTACAGATTGAAACTAAATGAAATGATAACGACAGATTCTCAAAGGGTCTTAAACACCTGTGCTTCCGAGGTGGATGCAAAGAGCACCAGTAGCATCCTGATTCAGAGTGAAGACTCGTGTCTTCACAGCCAGATCTCAGATGTTTCACAATGGCATAGAGAGAAATACCACATCAGCATAACAGCTCTCAGTTCCTCCTTCTCACTTCATTTTTGAATGCAAGTTACAGTAAATTATGAGATTACTTTTGGATTAACTGATCATCACCACGTCAGTGCTGAACTTCATTTGAAAACGTGCAGTTCTTATATTTTATAACCAATTAATATGTATAATGGACAGATAACAAGTATGTCATAATGCAGATCACACATACGGGCAAATTAACACCACGATCTGACAAACTTAAAAAATAACATGAAAGGTAGTAATTTCTATTACGTCTTTTCAGTATTCAGTACGGCAGGATTTAAAATCATTTCATTTAAACCGTCAGTGCTTTGATAACTATCACAAAGCTGACAGCACCATTTAATAAGGGCACCATTTAAATAGGAGAGCTGGAATTTTCCGATCTTTCTGCGTGGAGAGGCTCTAGTACATCACTACCAATGAAGGCAACCTATGTGGAACAAGAAGCTTGCAGACTTAGAGAAAACAGTACTGAACTTTTCACCGTCGATTACAGGACCACGATCAATTCCTCCAACGCTCACTCCGAGCGCACGTGCCTATCGCCGCAATGCCAGGTTACTGGGTGGCGCTAGCGAGCGCACGTGGACGCCGCCAGCAGGCGGACGCGCGAGCCTCCTCTTGACTACGGCGCCCCGTCTCGTTGTTCACGGAAACGGGAGGCCGTTGTGACTTCCGGTTCGACTCTTCATTCAGCCGCCCTGCAGCTCCGTCTCTTTTCTCTGGGGCTCTGCCGAAGACCGTCGTTCAGCCCTGCGTCCACTTTCTGGAAACTAAAAAAAATCCCGTCCCCTGCCTAGATTTTTTGTTTTTGTTTTCGCGTCTCACCTTCCCCTCCCCAGAAACGTCCCCCCCCCCGGCCATGGCGGCGAGTGCTAAACGAAAGCAGGAGGAGAAGCACCTGAAGATGCTCAGGGAAATGACGAGCCTGCCGCCCAACAGAAAGTGTTTTGACTGCGACCAGCGCGGCCCGACCTACGCCAACATGACGGTGGGCTCCTTCGTCTGCACCTCCTGCTCGGGCATTCTGTAAGTACAAAAATAAAACACCGTCAGATGACCTTTCAAATATTGACAGGCCCCTCCCGTGTCTCCTATGGGTTAGGTTTAGTTTTACGTCGACGTTGTTTGCAAGTGGGGTTACAGTTTTTGTCAGATCATTGGGCTAGCAGTGCATCGGGAGCAGGATTAACGGTGTGGCTGGTCTTCAGGTGTTTACTAGGACGCTTGGTGTCAGTGGGTGTTGGTGTGGATGTCCGCTACTCTTCTGCCCGGTGACTTTGATCCCGTTCAACCGTTTTCGCAATACTGTATAGAAGAAAGCCAGTCGCACCGCAAGCTGACCTGATACGTAGGGAAGTTGTGCAGTGGTGTTGATTTCGAAGAGAAGGCTGTACTGCGGAATACGCCGTTACACCCGCTTTTAGTTTCCGAAAGAACGTTTCAGCGGGATTGCGAATTGAAGGCGCTGCATGTTTTGTCCCATGCAAGTATGTTGTATAAACATGTATGTTAGGTGATACATTTTAGGAAACCAGTCCTTAACTGTGATGTACTCTTGGGTCTGCCCGATGATTTAGGATTAATGCTGTCCGACCCAAGTGAAATAAGGCCTCTTAGCGCAACACCCTAGAAATTCTGGAAGTGCAAAGCGTTTGTCTGAGAAGGCAGGGTAAAATTATTTTGCCAACTTGCTTGTAGCGAAATAGCATGAAAGTTACCAGCCAATTTGCCATTCTAATAAAAATCGCATTCCGTTTCCGTGTGTAAATTGATATGGCATTCATCTTCTATCTAGACAATGCGGCAGCAGCGCTAAAAGAGTCAGGGGAAAATGCACTTTTCTGGGTGTAGACACTCTCTGTTATGTTATCTCGAAATTTTACGCAGTCCACCAAGTGGGCTTCTACAGTGAAGCACAGATAGGAAGACTCGGGTGGAAAAGTGCATCTAACACTGAGCGCGAATCACTTTGTTTAGATAAAGGGTGGTAGGTGTGTGTAACAAGGTACCTTGCCATGCTGTTGATAACCCGAAATCCTTCAAGAGATGGTTCACTGAGAATCTCATTCCAGTCAACTATTAGCGACCAGAGAATTTCGTTGAGTGCAGTTGCTTCTTGTAGATGTGATCCTTTATGTTCTTAATGTTTATTACCCTCTTTGTCATTTAAATTGGTTTGAGAAAAAATTGGTAGGCCAGAATTCATATTCCTGTGTATTTAACGACCATAAGCACTGATATCAGTGCAGAGTAAATAGACAAGCAAGAAAAGGTTTAACTTTAATCTTTTTAGAAAAGGGTAAATGTACAAAAGTTTTTCAATTTGAGGTATTTTTACCTCCCTAAAGAGCACAGAGACAAGCCTTTGCATGTAGAAAAAGTGTAGGTTGTGTAGCTCATCATTTTTAAAGTCCACATTGACAACAAAAAGCTAAATACTAAAAAATGTTCAAAAATAGTCATTACAATTTGTATGCTTTCTGCTCATCTGACCCTTGTAAAAGAGCTCAAAAGCCAATGTTACAAATCTAGAAAATCTTAAATTATAGCTACAGAAACGTCTGCTGATTTTCTCTTAATACATTTAATTTCATATCTGTAATTTAGAGATACTGCTGTGTCAGTTGCATACCTACTTGATGAATCTTTGCTTCCATATGTGACACGCAGTGAGCCAACTACATTGATTATGCATGGAAAGCCACAGTAGGCTGTGTACCCTCATAAAGGTAAAAATAAAATCAGACCTTAGACATGTTGTATAGGTGCAGGAAGTGGACAAAAATGGAACACCAATATAAAGTCACTTTGCCACAGTGTGCTGACAGTCTATACATGCCATTGCATTAAGTTTACCAGTGTATGGATTTGCGCAGGAGGGATTCAGCCCTATTCTTCCATGAGAGAGTCAATGAACTCACACGTGGTCAGAAATAGAAAATGCTGTCTCAAGCATTGTCCCTGAATATTCCATAAGTGCTCAGTTTGGATCAGATCAGATGTGGTGACTGAGAAGGTCATAACATATGGATAACATCAGTGTCATGCACATCAGACCACTTGTGCTTTGTAGATGGAGGCATTGTCATCCTGGAAATCGCCCCTCCCAGCTGTACCATGGGGTGAAATTGATCCCTCAGTTCTATTAAGTGTCAATTAGCATTGACCTTGTCTTCTATGGCAATGTATGTCCGCAAACCCCGCCATTAAAATGTGCTTCGTAACATTACAGAACCACTCGAACCCTGCACTGTTGAAACCAAGCACTCAGGGCTGCAGAATTCTTTAAGATTGCTGCCACACATGTGCTCATTTGTTTGTGGAGAACAATGGTGAAGGATGATTCATCTGACCAGATCACATTTCTCTGCTGCTCAGTAGTCCATTGCCTGTGCTCTTTGCACCACTGGACTTGCAAAAGTGCGCCGTCAGCTGATGAGCAGTTTGTGCACTGCAGCCTGACTGTGGTACCCTGCTCTGTGGGGTTCTTGGCAGAGCAGTTTTTGGTGAAACTGTCTGCCCGTGCCTCAGGTCGAAAGTTGCAGTCAGGCGATCTGCGCTCGCTTGCCTGTTTTGCCCTGCACCTTGAATTGATGCACAGATATCATAATCCTGGCAGATGCGCTTCCGCCCACAGTTGGCCTTTGCAGACGATGCTTTTTCTCAGAATTCCCTGCTCACGTCGCCTTAGACACTGTTGCTTGCGATGCATCACCGAGCTGAGCTGTCTTGGTCGTTGAAGCGCCTGTCAAACACACCTCAACAATCACCCCACTTTCCAAGTCACCTAGGTCTCCTCTTGCAGCCATGCTGGCCATAAGTATGGGCAGTCAGTCCTGTTCAGCAGTTTTATACAGGACCCTCAGTGTTTTGTGATTTGCTTAATACATGAGCCATGTAGAAAGGTTGCATAGGATCGCTGGCTTTCCATGTCTTTGCTGTCTTTTGTTCACCAGGTGTTTCCATTTTTGTCCACTAGCAGTAGGTGTTGAGTATGTAGATGTACTGTATACAGATAATTACAAAGAAGAAATGAAATGATTCACAAATGTCCAGTTTTGTTTAGCAATCTATCAAGTAAATCTTTATGACGTTTACCGCACACAAATTCTACCTGCTGAGTCTTAGTAAAGATTCCAGGTGAACAGTCAATAGTCATACCTTTAATATGGGATACGTTGTACTTATCCATAGCTTAATGCAATTGTGGGTGTTCCTTTTAAATAAGATTTTCTGATCCTAAAATGTGACTTTTTTTTTACACACTTTATTAAGACGGATAATGGCTCTTAAGAGTCTTTGCCAGCTAAAACCAGTGGACAGATTTTGCTCACAGTCCAAACCACATGAAGCATTTCTTGGAAACTATGAAGTTACTGTGTAAGCTGTGATTGGACTGAGTTGTGGTTATGCAATGAACCTGCTGAACATCCTACTTAATTTACACACACCAAAGACAAACATTACACTGTACTGCACAGTTTTCTGCTACGAGCTGGATTATTTATCCATTGTAGGTGGTATTTTCCAGCTAAATGTTTCATTTTATATTTTTTTTATATTTGCATTCAGAAATTCTGCTGACATCAAGTTTCTGTGCTGTTAGACTAGATCTGTGCCCTGAAGGACGAATGATGTATTTAACTTGTAGTGTTTTAGAAGCATATGTTGCGAAATCCTGTCTTCTCTACTCTGTAAAGTGGGACTATCAAGTGAGAGTTTTAGTTTATAACAATTGCAAAGACATTTAGTACACAATAAATGAAAAATATTTATCATCTTTGTTAATACCAGACTGATTTTCTTGAAATTGAAGTTGTATAGGCTAATTTAAAAAACAGACAAATAATCATCCAAGATGTTTAGGAGTTTGTGATGAATATGACTGTTAGATATGGGCGAGTTTCTATCCAGCACTAAACAGAATTGAGTGTTTACTGGGAAAATTATTTAGTAAAAAGCAAAACTTAAAAAGGTCCCCAGAACTTTCTACAGCCGGGACAATGTGTTTAATGCCATATGGTTGAATTTGCACCAGGGTACTACTTGCAGCTAAGATAGCACTCAGTATATGTTTACATCTTTATTACATATGGTGATTTAAAAACTGTTTCTTAGAAGCAGGTACAACACTGGGTCACCCACTCTGATGCGTATGGATTTCGTCAGTAGAGTTAACAGCCAGTTAAGGGGGAACTCAAGTCCCAGTTTCTCAGACTGGTTAATACGTTTCAGTAATAAAATACATTCATCGACAGAAGAGAAAAGAACTTTTACAAACTTTGAATTAAGCACAAAATCACGATCTCTGTGAAAGTACTTTAAGTATATTGTTGCAAACCCCTGGTTTCACTATGGGTAAGAGCGAAAGATCCCATGAAGTGTGACATGAGGTAGCCCTTCTTGCTCGCTGTAATGATTAATGTAGTGCGATGTGTGAGCGAATTAAGTACAGGTTTTGCAGTTGATATTTCACTGCAGGAAGTTTCCAACATGATCTCCAAGCAGGGTTAACACGCAAGTTCCATTTGTCGGCAACACCATCTTGAAATCGACAGCGATCTTTCTGTTGGATTGAAATAGATGTGTTCACAAGCCTGCTTGTTTACAATCTAATAGGGCCGCTTCACGTCACGGGAGGTTTTGTTGCCTCATTTTGAATCGCTGAATATGGCCTGCGCATACCTGGAAATGGTCTGTTGTGTAATGTAAATTGGAGATTTTACAAGTTGCTGTGTAAATTTTACTTTCGTTTGAAATGCACTCATCAAAGCTGATTCTTTCTAATCCCGAAATATAAAAGCAACACTATTTTTTATATCTGTTATATCGGTAATGTAGTTTTAAAGGCGTAGCTGCCTGTAGATTCTACCTGCTCTTGAAGCTTTTAAAAACAATATATTCACTTTGCCTTTAAAGTGACAAACTGCTTTTGGAAAGTACTGTTTTCTGATTGTCAGTTCTGAAGGACACATCCTGAATGCATTTGGAGAAGACTCTCATCGTATCTGTTGCTACTCTAAGAT